GTCACCCCCCATCCCAAGGGTGACAGTTTTCTCACAAGTGAGCATACAGTTCCTGCAGGGCTCAGCATTGTGAGTTGCTGGCCTGGAAAGGAGGCATTACTTCTTTGAAAAGGACTCTCCTATCCCCCTCCTAAGGGCACAGCTGAAGTCTCTGGTGCTCCCCCACAGGCACAGGAAGCCTGCCTGCCTGCCTGCCCAGGGGAAGGTCAGTGTGGATTACTACCCAAGCAGGCTGCCCGACAGCTCGCCCAGAGGGAGTGGGTACAGCCAGGAAAATACACAGGGACCACAGCAGCAGCTCAGGGGCACTGACAAGACGCATGGGTGTGTCTCAAGACCCCTACGCAGAGATCCAATTTCTAGACAAGAAACTATCAGTCCAACTCCCTTTTGGATACACACAGGCAGGGGCAGGGGTCACTTCTATCTCAAACACACGCTACAGGAGCAAAGCGCTTTGAGAGAGACAAGTCCCTTTAAAAACTGCTTCCATGATGCTTCTTAGTGAAATTACTGCTTTCTGCTGAAAGGAACCAATCCCCTTTCTTCCCCATAACACAAAGTGTTTACCCTTCAAGGTGTGTTCCTTCAAGATTTGCTGCGAATCTGAAAAACTCATGACACTGTACGATTGCTTTCTGTTAATTTCAGGAAGGCCTCTCCTCTTCTGTATTCAGAAGAAATTGCCACCAGAACACACATTATTGGGAGGAAGACCCTTTTTTAAGTAGAGGCAATGCTCTTTCTAGAAGGCTTATGCTTAATTGAAATATTTAGCCCTGCTTATTTGGTGCTTTTGTATAATATAACATCAGATCCAAAATCCCACTTTACAGTTAAGAAAACTGAGGACCAGAGAGGTGACATTGCTTAACCGAGGTAACGAAGCAAGTTAACGAAGCTAGAATTGGAGCCCCAGGCTCCAACCCCTTGCCAGGGCTGGGATTTCTACCACACTGTGACGTTTAGGCTTAATCTAAAGTTCACATGGCATGCACCATTGCATGTAGCCCTGTACCAGGGCCAGTTGACACTAGGGGACAGCATGGCAGATGCATATGATCCTTTCTATGAAGGAAATATTTCAGGGAATTCTAAGGCTAAAATAGACCTGGAGGGATCTGTACTCCATTTCCTCTCCTTGAGGCAGAAGCTGGACATCTCTCCAAGGGAGAAGGATCTATCTTATTTCTGAAACCTTTCAGGGACAATTTCACAGCTTCACTTACAAAAGGGACTATCTGATTTCCCTTCAACAGGAGGATCCAAGAAACAACCAGAGAAAACTGACAAGTAGTTTTTCAAATAAATATAAGTAAATAAAAGCCTCCTCACTGTGATACCTCCAAAGTGATCATGTGAAGTAAGTTTCTGGTTTCATCCAAGATGAACCTTTCAAACTGTAAAAGGAAAACATTCTGGAAACAGAGAAGAGCTTGGAGTCCTCCCAGGACCTCAGCTGTGGGTTTGCAGAAGGGGTAAGAACGTGAGCCACTCGGGCCTGGTCATATGAGAACCTGGACAGCAAGTCTGGCAGACAGACACCTACTGAGCAAAAAGCACCTGGGCACGAAAACGAAGGTGCTGGAGACTGGGCAAGGGCTCCTGCCCGATGGTTTTCACTTTAAGTTTCGTAGGAAGCCCCCATTTTTTTACAGAGTAGTTCTGCATTAGGCCTCAGTTCCAGAAAGTGCATTTCCAAGTAATCTGAAGGGAAAAATAAGATAAAAACAAAATAGATTAAAAACTCCTCCAGTGATTCCACGTATATTCATGCTCAATAATTCCAAAGCCAGAGGTTATCCTGAGAGGAGGAAGTCGGCCTAACATGCGTGATATTAAGGGAGCGGAAGCTAATAATGTGTGGCCGTTTATCTGCAGACGATGCGGCTGACCCACCGCCAGTGGCTTTGAACAGCTTTTCCATCAGAAGTGCTGAGATTCCAGGCTCCTGAAAACCCAGGATGCAGCTCCAAGGCAGCTGTGGGATTAAGGTGGCCCCACATTTGGGGTGCAGCCTAGGCTGCTTGTGATGGAGAGCAGAGTAAACCCCCAGGGTAGCCAAGCTCTGGGCAAGGACTTCAAATAGCTCTTTCTGCTGGTGCAAAGCAAGGCTTCTCTGGATGCCTCCGGCCCTCTCCCTCAGGTAGAGGGAGACTACACCCCTCTGTCCTCACCAAACAGAACACCTAGACCCCTCTCCTTGCTGTGTGCAACCCTCACTTGCTATCCAGTTCAAGTCTGAAAGGGTCTCACCAAGAGCCCTGAAAGATCAGGCTGGGGTTGATTCTGGAAGGAAGGCTCCTGCCCTGGGGTCGACCCCATGCCAGCCAGTGCCCAAGCCCAGAATGGGGTCCCAGGAGACTTAGCATATCCTAGAAGAGCCACGCCAGTCAAAAGCCATAATCCATGAGGTGTGAGCCTCAGGGCACCCATACCCTGTAGGGGGATGTGAACCTAAAAAGCTCTGGTGGACCAATTGAGAAAAGCTGGAGAGTGAGTCTCTGAGTTGGATCATGTCATTATTACCCATTTAAGGGGACCATTGCTATTTGTTTTATACCCATTATTTCAATTCCATGCTGTGACTCTACCCCTGCAGAAACAAAATTTGGTCACAGAGAAGTGAACCCATGTGTTCAAGGTTGCACATCAAGGACTCACCGGACCCCGTGAGGGTCCTTGGCTGCTGCTGCCTCCCAGGATCGGGGTGTGAACTGGAAGCCTGTGGGTGGCAACAGCACTTCTCAGTTATGCCTGGGCCCCAGAGGCCCTAGTGGGGGACTTGACTGTTCCAACTCCCAGGTTCCCAACTGCACAACGTTTAGGTAGAATAGCAAAACTCTCCAGCGTAAATTAAATCCACTTTAATTTTGAAAGCAAAAATGAACAGAGCCTTGCAGTCTGTCTCCCTAGGAGACAGCACCGAGAGCCAATAAGCCACCATCCCTCCCCTCCCCAGAGAGCGGCTAGGAGTCACCACAGAACTGAAAGCAGGTGGTTTTCACGGTAACTCTAGAAGTTCAAAGTCAAATCCACTAAAGAAACATGGGAGCTTGGTACACTTAACCAGAGACATGCATTTACTTAAAAGAGGATTCAAAAAAGACTTCAAAACACAAAATGAGTTTCATGAAAAGTCTCTTACTCCCACCTTCTTGAAACAATGGGGTGCAAATGTTACAGGACAGAATTGGGGGAGGTCAAGGAATCATTGCTTTGTAAATGATCTTCCTGGTATTATTTTGTCATTTTCTGTTCCCTCTATGTTTTATAAAAATCTTGTTTGGATTAAATGACTCCTAAGGGGTCATTCTGCAAATAAAATAGGACTAGGATGTGTTTTTTTTTTTTTTTTAATTTCAAGTTTAAAAAAAAAATCTCAACACAACAGACACTAGTATGGCAATATGTAAATCAATGGATGTGTAACTGATGTGATTCTGCAATCTGTATATGGGGTAAAAATGGGAGTTCATAACCCACTTGAATCAAAGTATGAAATATGATATATCAAGAACTATGTAATGTTTTGAACAACCAACAATAAGAAATTTTAAAAAAATCTCACATGTCTCAATGTGTCACAGAATAATGAAAATGGTGGTTTTGTTAAAGACCTCATAATTTTAAAAAACCGGTTAAATTAAAAATAATACAAGTCAAAAGTTGTTAAATGTTTAAGTGAGGGGAAGCCATTATTTTCGAACAGATCCTGTGCTTGTGGGTTCTTGGTGACCATTTTCCTGAGTCAGAGTCTTGACAGCGATCAGACAACCTGTGTTCTGGGACCCTCCCACGTCCACAGCCTCCCTTTGGCGTGGCCTCTCAGCTCACTTCTGTAGGCCAATCTCTGGCCTCTCTGCCTGGGCCCTAGCACACGGGGCACCCCTCAGTTGCTACCTCCTGAAACCCAAGCTGCCACCATGCACCGTCTCTGTGACATGGCCCCACACCCACGTTATCAACCTTGCTGAGGGCACCTTGTGGGGGACACCCCTGAAGTCGATTCTTCCTCCTGCATCTGAGACCAACCCACCCCTTCTTAATGTTCCTGGTCTTCAGCCTGGCACACAGAAGGTGCTTGATAAATACTTGCTCAGTAAAGGGGACAAGTACCTTGGACCCCTTTTCCTTGGACATATGTGACCTGGACCGCTGGCCTCCTTCCTTGCTGGAGCTCTCCTCTCCCCCTGGGTGCCCCGCCCCCTCAGTGCCTCTGCACTGTCTCCTCCAGGTCCCTGGGAGTGACCAGTGTACCATCACCCAGCAAGTTGCTCGGGAGGTTGTTTTCCCCTCCCAGCCCCTCCTACTGCTCCATTTACCCATCACCAAGTCCTCTGCATTCCCCTCCTAGACCTCTCTCCACCTCCCTCCGTCCACTCCCTCTAACACCTGGGCCAGGCCCTGCCCTGCTTCTCACACTGGGGCTGCTGTGTGGCCGTTCCACTTTCTCTGTGCAGCTCTTCAGCTGGCTCAAGGTGAGCCTCTGCTGGCCTCTAAGCCTCAGGGGTTGGCCCCTCCACACGCCCCACTCAGCAGTGACTGTCCCAAGGGCGGCACAGGCGCACTCTCACCAGGGCTGGGATGTGGACTGGGCGGCCACAGAGAAGCAAACGGTGAAGTGGAGAGTCGGGAAGGCCCTGTACGTGAACTTTGGTCACAACTTAATACCTCAGGGAGGTGCCTCGAGCCAGAGCAGGATGTGGAGCTCTCACGAAGCCCATCCCTGAGGGAGGGCCCCCCACTTCAGCTTCGTCTAGATAGGAAGTCACCTGAAGAAACACAAGAAGCAGCGCGAGGACAGAATCACCTCGCTTTCTGTCCCCTGCCCCCCTCTCCACAAATCTGTGACAGTCTAGTTCTCCACCCATGCCTGGCAGGAGGACCAGGGAGGGGACAGCTCCCACCTCGAATCCTTCCGGAACATTCCATTCGGTTCTCAAAAACTTCTCTTTCACCCTCACAGTCCACCCATTTCTGCAATATTTAACCAAGTTAGGCTATTCTGTTAACAAACGGAGCTGGCACTGACACACGAGAAGCCCAACGATGGCTGCCAAGTGTGGCCCACATGGGGCAGGGGCAGGCGGGTGGGGCAGGGCACTCAGCCCCTTGCCTCCGGCCTCTGTGCCTAGCAAGGGCTGGGCTTAGGCAAAGCCTGTGGAGTGGACATGAGCCTCCTGCAGCCCAGCCCTTCCCCGACAGAAGTCCTGGAGCCGAGCTGCCTGATGCCCTCTACCTGCTACCTGGGCTCCTCACACACACCGTCAGCCACATGTCACAGCTCAGACCAACTGACAGCACCTCAGCGCAACTGCTGGTCCCGCCTCGTCACCCCCCAGGTCCACACGCTGGAGACAAGCTACGTGGCCTGGGCAGGGGCATGTGGTCCTGGGCTGCCCTGACTCCTCTCACGTCCCTGGGTCTCCAGGAGCTGGTAGGTCACACAGCAGAGTCCTGGGTTGGGACAGCTCTGAGACCAGGATTTCTCTGGAATAGTGCCATTCGCTGCCCTGGTGGGTGACAGCCTCCACGCAGGAGTCACTCTTGAGTCCCTCTTGCTTCCCCAGGGCTAGGGGCGTGACAGGGACCCCAATGAAGAGCTAAGCATTTGGCAACCAATCTGCAGGTGAAAACCAAGTCAATTCCAACCAGGGACTGACTGAAATCTGCCCTGATCCATGACCCAGGAACTGGCTCTGCCAGTATAACAAGGGTGGTGGAGGGGAGCCCACCGTCGCTCTGTGTGCCCCTCACAGGCAGAGCCTGAGCTCCACGGGCCGCCCGGGGGAGCCGGCTCCATGCAGGGCCACAGAGCAGGGGTGTAGGTGGGATCGGCCTGCTTCCTGGGCTCACAACTGAGAAATGAATAAGACCGACCTCCCTCTCCTGCCCTTCAGTGCTTCTAATAATACCACAAGAATAAGATACAATGCAGCAAAAACACTGCTGTCCCGATGACGGTACAGAGGCACAGAGAATTTAAGACAGGCAAAACCACGAGGTTTCTTGGGCCCACCCTGCTTTTGACTTGAAGACTGCAGGCCTACCTCGCCATCCGCCCTTAGTTTAGATATAGACGGTCCTATATCTCAGCAGGCAGTGTAGAGTCTTATAGGATTTATTTTATCAATGACGAAGTCATAACTGTGCTTTTTCAAAGCCAAACTTTAAAGTCCCTTCAAGTCCTTGGCTTCCATTAATAATCCCTTCACTCCACAGACATTAAATAGCCTCTCCCGGGAGCTAGGCAGTGGGCCAGGAACCAGAGAGACCAGAGGGCACCCTGATGGTTACAACCCAGGGTGCTCAGCTGGTATGAACAGAAACAGGAGGAGAATTGGTGCACTGAGGAGGGGCTCTCAGGAGGAAGTAACAAGGGTTCTGAGTTTTGAAAAGTGAATAGGAATCAGGCAGGAGACAGGCTGGAAAAAGAACACCATTTGCAAAATCCTGGGGATGTGAGAGGCCGTCGGGGCATACTAGAGTTGCAGGAAGGGTGAGGGACGTGGGCCAGGTTGGCTAGAGCCCTGTGCTCTAGGTTGACAAGGTCAAACTGGACCCTGATGGAGGGGGCTGGTGAGCCCCTGCATGGTTGACGCAGGGGAACAATCAATCCACAAGTGATTACCTGAGGGTCCCTGAACAGCTGAGCCGCTCTTGGGACGCCTGCCTTTATTCACTGCTCCTGAGGCAACTGCAACTTAAAAGCCTCATTAGCAGGCAGCTCTCCCACCAACAGCTCAGCCGCCTTCCCTTCCGTAATGCCCTCTCTTTGAGGCCACAGCTACTTTCAATTGCAATCTAATTTCAAGAAGTGATAAACATATGCTCATGTTTCCATTTACAAGTTTTTGATTATCAGCCTGGCATTGTAGCTGCAAATTACCCATTTTCTATTATAATTATTTTTACTTCTCTAGATGAAGGTGGAGAAGAAGCACTTTTAAATTACTAAAGTGCCTGAGCCACAGAAGGAGGGAAGAAGCAAGCATCACCGCATCTTTAGCCTCCGGCAATAAAATAGAAAGAGTTTGCAAAAGGCGATTCGAGTATGGGCTGTGCTCACCATGATCCGTTTACCTAAAACCTGGCCCAGGTGACAGCAAGACAGGGAAGAACTCAGATGCGGGCACAATTGCTGCTTCTAAGGGCTCTCTAAAAGAAATTCCTTGAAAACTGCTTTAGGTGACAGGCAGGTACCCGGCACTTCTAGGCACCGGCTCTTGCCTTTTCTATTTCTAGGAGAAACTCTGAAAGGTGTGATTGACATCTCTCAGATGAGCTGCAGTGCCAGGTCACACTGGGATAGGAGTTCAGCCACGCTCACTGCCATCGAGGCCTCTCCAGAAGAAGACGGGGCAGGACCAGGGCTGGTGGGCGCTGCCTGGGGATCGTGGGGGGAAGACAAACCTCCTTAATAGATGGGAGACAATGAATCCAGGCCACTGATTGAAGGGAAACGGATTCTACCAAGCAGAGTGGCAGACATATTGGCAGCTTAATGTTCCATTTAATTGGCATGTAAAGTGAAGTGACAGGGAGCATGCAAATGAGGACGTGACTGTGGCTTTGAAGGTGCTACTGGCAGCTTTTGTTTTGAAAGTGCCGTTTGGACAAACTGAACAGTGTTATTTCTGGGATGATTGGTTAGTCAAGAAATTGTGCCATTGTGCTGACCTCCAGGTCCCTGACATCTTCCATGTATGACTGTGCGTCGTCCTGGGGACGCAGGTGTGGAAGACATAGTCCCTGCTCTTAAGGAACTCATTTTAGTGGGGAGAGGGGGAGTAAGATATGGAAAAAGCAAGTTGCTACTTAAATGTTCAAAACACCATCTGTGGAAAAACAAAAAAAATGTAAAACTGTAGTTGCAGGAATTCCAAATATTATCTTTTCACATTCTGAATCCTCATGGGTGACAATGATACACCAAAATCATAATAAATTGATAATAAAAGTAACAATTACAATAGATAAATGTAAGTGTACTGGGTACTTTTTAGGCCTACTAACTCCTATTTTGGCAGTACCTGTGCCTGTATCTATGCCGTCTTGGTGTTATCTTTAATTTGTGCACACGCTGTGTAGAGTTAGGACCATCTTATTTCTGAGAAGCCTGAAGGTGGAGTCCAGGTCCAAAGGCACAGAGCTAGGAAACACAGGGCAGGTAGGGGCTCCTGTGGGTCATGGGGATTGCGCCGTCTCACTTTCCATCTGAAGAGTCAGAGACAACAGGAGCCCGAGGGATCCAGACTGTTCCCAACTGAGCCTCAAGCTCTTTGGTATTCAAGATGGACTCCTTCGGGTTTTGGAGGAGACAACAGCATATTAACCACCCTTTAGACATCAGCCATAGGCTCTGCCCTTGAGAGTACATGGTTCTTCTCGTGCATCTCAAGATCCTCGAAGTAAGGAAGGGGACAGCAGGTTAGCTCTGACAGCACAGGGATCCCAGGGCATTCCATCTCCAATGGCAGGACAAGAGGCCTCCCAGGGGCCAGCAGAGGTGTGCCCCCGGTGGGGAAGTGTGCAGAGGCCATGTTGGGAGTAGTGTCACGAGGTGTCCCACATGATTATGTGCTGTAAGGGGTGTTGCTGGAGTCTGCCAGCGAGGGGTGTGAAGGGTGGTGTGGGTGTCGCATGAGGAGGCAGGTGTGTTGTGAGGGCAGACGATGCAGAGGCCACACTGCACTGTGTGTAAATCATGCCATGCAGTGTATACTAGGGTGTGCACTGTGAGTGTTGTGAGGTGAGTGGACAGGTTGTGGGGCTGTGCAAGGCAGGGAAGACCCTGAGGTCCAGAGTGGTGCCTCTGGTCAATGATATGGAGTCCCCTCCAGAACCCCCAACCAGGCCTGAGAAGGCTCTTCTTGCTCACTGAACCTGCCCAACCCTGGGGACAGTAAGCTCATACTCCAGTGCCCCCAACCTCAGCATCCCCTGGGTTCAGGATGGCCAGTGAGGCATCGGGGTGGCATGTTTTGGGGTCTTGTGGTTGGAGGGACTTGGGAGGTGCCCCTCTCTGTGGCAAAGCCCTGGGGCGCTGGCAGCTCACATCTAACACAGCCTCCCCAGGGCTCACTGCCCAAGCGAGCAGCCAGGAGCCTGCACAGGGGAGGGAAGGGAATGCCCTTGGCACCCCACCCCCCATACGGGCCTAGCGCTGGGGTGCCCAGACTCCCCATCTTCTCTCTGGGCACAGCGCCCCTTAATAAGCACCCTGCCCTCCACTCTTGGCTCATCCCTCCCATCCCCCTTGGGGAGGAGCCATCACAGCAAGACCCACTGGGCGGCTCCTTCTAGAGCTCAGGCAGCAGAAGAAGTACTCATTTAGAACATCGGTATTAACACCCCCACCTGTATTATTGAGGATCTCCAGCATACAGCAAAAGTGAAAGAACTTTAAAGTGAACACCTGGATGTCCATCCCCTAAATCTACAATTAATACTTTATGAAGTTTATTTGATCATACATCTACCCTTCTATTCATTCATCAATCTAGACTTTCTTGACACCTTTCAAAGACTAAGCCAGCAGAGCACTCAGCCCCGCCCACCTCAGCAGGTACATGCTGACCAGAGGTCAGCTTCGCTTTCTGTAAGGATTTGCTTAGCTTTCTTCCTGTCCCCCCACCCCGCCTCTGAACCCACAATGCACTGTGCCACTCTCAAGCACACTATTCAATGAAAATTTTTTTTGTAACTTTTTATTTTATTTATTTATTTTTATGTGGTGCTGAGGATCGAACCCAGGGCCTTGCACGTGTGAGGCGAGTGCTCTACTGCTAAGCCATAACCCCAGCCCCATTCAACGAATTTTGACAAATGCAGGGGTCCATGTCACTCCAACCCTAGCAACATCTGGAACATGGCCTTCACTGCTGAGCCCATCCCCCTTCCTGAAGCAACCACTATTTTAAGTCTTTAAAATGGTGGTCCTCCCTGTTTTAGGTATAAATGGAATCACACACGTCACCATCGCCTGCATCAGGCTTCAGCCAGCAAGGTCCATATGGTTTCACATTCATCCATATTGTTGTGTCAATCAATAGTGGCTTCTTTTCTGAGGAATTTTCTGTTATTTGTCGACACCACAGTTTATTCTCCTACTGACCAGTGACTTTATTTTGAAAGTACAGGTTGTCACCTAATCAGGGCTATTGTGTAACACAAGTTGCTCTTTCTTGCATTTAGACCTGTTTGTCTTATTGGCAGATTAGGTGTGCTCGGAGCTAGCACTGCTCTCCTTAGTCCACGAGAGTGTATAAAAAAACAAAATAAGTGTATTTCATCACCTTTGCAATAGAAAAAGGATCAAGAAACACAGTTTCGGGCTGGGGATGTGGCTCAAGCAGTAGCGCGCTCGCCTGGCATGCGTGCGGTCCGGGTTCGATCCTCAGCACCACATACAAACAGAGATGTTGTGTCCGCAGAAAACTAAAAAATAAATATTAAAAAATTCTCTCTCTCTCTCTCTCTCTCTCTCTCTCTCTCTCTCTCTCTCTCTCTCTCTCCCCCCCCTCTCTTTAAAAAAAAAGAAGAAGGAAAAAAAAAAAAAGAAACACAGTTTCAAGTGAGGCCTGGTGGTGCAGGCCAGCTACTCAGGAGGCCGAAGCAGGAGGACTGCAAATTCAAGGCCAGTCTCAGCAGCTTAGCAAGACCCTGTCTCAAAATAAAAATTTTAGAAAGAGCTGGGTATGCAGCTCAGGGGTATGGTGCTTGCCTAGAATGTGTGAGGCCACAGGGCTTCAACATAATCAAGACAATAAAAGCACAGTCCCAGAGTGGAGATTCCCCAAGTGTGATGGTCCAGGTGAAAACTTAAAAGTGTCAACAGGTAATACATTTGTGTTTATACTTATGTCCCATTCCTGGCCTGTTAAAATAGTTTTCCTACATGAATATGTGATTTACTTTTCCAATAAATCTATTTACATGATAAACCCTCGATTTAAAGAAAAACATTAGACAAATAAACAGAGGGGTACAGCCAAGGGAGAATCATGAGGCGGCCTTGGGCAGATTCCTGGGGGGCAGGAACATTATCTGGAGCAGTGGTGTCAGTCCTGGCTGGGCATTAGCATGACCTGGGGAGCTCTGGCTCTCCTCTGCTGGGTCCCACACCCACAGCCTTTCATGGACTTGGTCAAGGCACGTCCAGACATCAGTAGCTTTGAAAAGCTCCCTAGGTGATTCTAATGTGCAGTCTGAGGTGAAAAACCTGTTTTAGAAAGTAGCAGTTTTCAAAGACAAGCAGTATCAGCAACCCCAAGGCACTTGTTAGAAATGGAAATTCCTAGGTCCCACTCCAGACCTCCTGGATGGGAAATCAGGATGGGGGGCCAGCAATAAGGCAAAATAAGCCTTTGGGAAGTTCTGATGCTCTGCACATGGACTCGGTGTGTAGGGGGTTAGTGGAACAAGCCCCCTTCTCCCTAGCTCCCAGGAAGTCTCTACCATTGGTGCCCTTTCACCCAAGGTCACTGCCACCCAGGGAAACCCCTCTCCTCCCTGGGGCAGAGAGGGTCAGTGGGAGTGTCAGCTGGTGAGAAGCTGCTGGCCAATTACCAAAGGGATGACATCCTGGGGACCACTGTGTCTTAACCTCAATTAATCCACATGCCAGTTAATCAGACCTCAGAAAATCGAGTGTTGACTATAATCTTATTTTCGCCATGATTTTTGATTATCAGTGACCTCCTTCCACTCCATTACCCTTGTTAATTGAGAATTGACTATGCAGTTAAAATGAATGTTTCCTGCACTAACAGAGCTGTACCAGCTTCATCTTAAAGTCCCTTTCAGCTCAAAAAGTCTGATGCACCTGCAGATATATTGATCTGATTCAATTCATTTCTCCAAGAATTTATGAAATTACCACTAAGAGGTCATTGGTTATTCGTTCGTACTTCCAAAGGCTCATAGGAAAGGAATGGTTTTGTTTGGAGGATAACACTGTATTTAGGGAGTATCTTAATCCTGTATTTGGCAAAACCTGGCTTCTTGATTAGCAGTGATGTCTCTATTAAAAGATGCTCAGCACAGGCCGTGGGATTTGGTGACGTCCTTGGCAATACTGTTACCCTAAAGTTAGAGGAGACAGGGGAGAACAATAGTCCCAGGCTCTTCTTCACCAGCTGGCTGTTTTGATAAGGGAGAGTACAAAGGAAGAGGGGGCTAACAGGAGATCGGGGAATCTGATTATGTGCTCCGATGCTATGTTTGAAAAATGAACTTTTCATGTAAAACCGTAGCGATTACACAATTGGCCAAAAATAAAATATATAAATAAATAAGCCATGCTGGGGGATCTGCAGTGACAAATGTAATGCCTATTAAGTAGTACACACCATGAGGAGATGTGTATCAAAATAGCACGGTCCTTTTCCTGTATCGCAATAAAGCAAAGGAATTTTGCCCCTGGGGAGGGAAACTCACCCCCCATTTGTGGAAGGACAGTCACATGGCAAAAAAAGCTTTCCACGACCAGGCAACAGGGGACATGGGCCAGCTGCTCCTTATTTACTGGATTCAGGGCTGACCCTAGATGGCTGGCAGATCCCCTGTGCACCCACGAGACCCAGAATCAGGTCTGGATCAGGTCTGGCCATCTGATGTCCTTCCAGACCTACCCATTGTGCCCAGCCTCCGTCCTCCTGGGGTCAAGGGGCCTCTCCACTCTGCTCAAGTGACTTCCTTGGGGGTTTTCTCCTGGAACCTAGGGCTGTGTCACAGACATTCTGAGGCTCAGTGAATGCCTTAAAAAAATAACAACTTCTTACTATGAAAAATTATAATCATAGGGAAACAGACAACAGAAGGAACGTCCACACAGAGGTCCCCAAAGGGTCATTCACGTGTTGCCATGTTTACTTCACCTCTTTTGCCCGAAGTAAATACTTCAAAACTAAAGGACGGTTCCTAAAACAAGGACGCTCTCTTACTTATCCACCATGTCATGATCACACCTGAGAAAAT